CTATAGGTGTGTGGGGGCCATTAGTTCCCCAAGGGCAGGGACCTGTCATATCCATCACTGCGTCACTGTGACTGACAGATCAGAGTATCAGAGCCCAGGGACTGACTATAAATGATCAGCACAGGGATGAGCATTTGTCTCTGATTCAATTTGCCTCATTTGGTGCTTCTCTAAAAAAACAGCAACCCTCCCAAGCCCCCCCAAGCGTAGGGAACAAACAGCCTAATTTCCTACATGACTCCTCCTCCTCACTGGGAAGAGGCCCATGGATTATTTATCCTTCTGACAGCCAGTTTTAAGGCTCTTGCCATAGTTCTATCCAGGGACACTGTCATACGCCTAAGAAAGCTGAGGGACATCTTTCAACTTTTAGCTTAATAGTTAGGTGTTTATGTACCTGGTTTAAAAGTTGCGATTCTCAAACTACATGCTTAAAAAATTGTCTTTTTATCTATAGAACTCATTTCCATTTTTTTCTAAACTTATTTACTTAAAGTGATAGAGAAAGGGAAATAGCATGAGACTGTCACTACCCAAGACTGGGGGATGGCACAAGCAGGGAGACCAACTAGAAGGCTCTTGAGACAATCAGTCACCTGATGATGGTGGCCTGGACCAGGGTGGTGACGGTGGGGGCGGGGGTGTGTGTGTAAAAATGGCAGGACTGTGCGTCTATTCTGGGTGCATGTTGAAGGCTGTGTTGACACACTGAATGTGGGGAGGATGAAAAACAATGGTCAAGGACGACAAGGCCTGGACAACAGGGAGAATGGTTTCCAGGAACTGGGGCGGGGAAAGGTGCGGCGGGAGCAGGTCTGGGGGAATGTCAAGGAGCTGTTCTGGACCTGCTGTGCTGGGGACCCCTTAGACTCCTAAGGGAAAGTGTGGGCAGACATCTAAGTACAGGGTCTGAGGTTCAGGGAAGGGTCACGGCTGGAGATATTACTTGCACATGTGAGGCTCCCTCGCATTCAAATGGGTTTTGAGTCTATGAGACTAGACGAATTCACCCAGCGAGTGTAGGTAGGAAAAATGTCCAAGGTCATGCTCAGCAGTGAGAAACTGGTCTGACACGTTACCTGTTGGCTCAAGTGTGGTAGTGAAATGTGAAAGCACTAAGGGGAAAGTGTGGGCAAAGAGCTCCAAGGCTGAGCCGATGAGGGGCAAACACGTCGTAGGCATTTCAAAGGGTTCAGAGTTCCACAGGCTGCGGATGGGGAAATGTAAGTGCTAAGGTTAGAAAGGAAAAACAAAAACAAAAACAGCAAAACCATGCCTGGTGGGCGTGGCTCAATAAGGTTGGGTGTTGACCTCTGAACCAGGAGGTCATGGTTGGATTCCGGTCAGGGTCATGCCCGGGTGGCAGGGTCAATCCCCAGTAGGGGGCGTGCAGGAGGCGGCGGATCAATGACTGATTGATGTTTCTCTCCCTCTCTCTTCCTCTCCTAATTCATAAAAATATGTTAAAAAAAAAAGCAAAAGTACGTAGGTGTAAAACTGGAGATAGATTCAAATATAATACAAAAACATCGGGGAAAGCCTGTAGGTCAGGGTAAGGGGTGGAGGTGGTGAACTCTGCCATATGACCCGGGTGACCTGAGGCTGCCCAGGGGCCAGGACCCTTCCCCAGGCCGTACCTGGCCAGCTCGGGGCAGCCCCTGCCCGAATGCCCCCAGCGGCCAGTCCTCGTGCGGGCGGGTCCCCGGCCGGAGCAGCGTGGTCCTGCGAGCGAGCGTGCTGCGTGGGTGCCGTCCCCCTGGGCAGGGGAGGGGCGCCCCGCAGGAGGCGTGGCCGGGCCGCCTGGCTACGGTCCCAGCTACAGTGCGAGCGCAGCACCGAGGCCCAGCCGGGCCGGGGCCAAGCTGAGTGACCGGCGACACGGGAAGGCCCGGAAAGCTTGGCAGAGGTTCCGGTGGGGGCCGGGCCGGGCCTGGGGCTGCAGGGGCGTCGGTGGCGGTGACGGCGGCTGCGCGGCCGTTACCTGCTCCGCTGGGCTCCCGCGGCCTCAGACGCGTCGCCTAGAAACCCGCCCGCGGGGCCTGCTGGGAAGGGAGAACCAGGGGGCGGGGCCAAACCAGGGGCGGGGCGGGGCGGCGCGGGCCGCGCGCCTGCGCACTCCGGACTGCGTCTGGGCGGCCGGTGGCAGCGGTGGCCAGTGGCCGGTGGCCGGTGGCCGGTGTCCAGGGCGGCGCCCTGAGTCAGGCCCTGCATCTCCGCGAGGGCGCAGTGAGGGGCCTTGTGTGGACGTCCTGACGGCGCCGCCCGCTGCTCCTCTCCCTCGCCCGGTCGCGGAGGGGGCCACCGAGCCGGGACCAGGCGCTCCCGTCCGCGCTGGGTTGCTGTCGCCCGCGCCTCGGGTGGTTTGAATCCGAGTCCCGGAGGGAGTCTAGGGCCCGGGAGGGGCGGGACCGAGGGCAGAGCGCTCCCTGCAGGAGCCTGGACGCCTGGTTCCCCGGGAAGGGGTGGACTCCTGGTTCCCCGGGAAGGGGTGGACTCAGGCGGGCAGGAGTGGATGTCTGGTTCCCCGGGAAGGGGTGGACTCAGGCGGGCAGGAGTGGACGCCTGGTTCCCCGGGAAGGGGTGGACTCAGGCGGGCAGGAGTGGATGTCTGGTTCCCCGGGAAGGGGTGGACTCAGGCGGGCAGGAGTGGACGCCTGGTTCCCTGGGAAGGGGTGGACTCAGGCGGGCAGGAGTGGACGCCTGGTTCCCCGGGAAGGGGTGGACTCAGGCGGGCAGGAGTGGATGTCTGGTTCCCCGGGAAGGGGTGGACTCAGGCGGGCAGGAGTGGACGCCTGGTTCCCCGGGAAGGGTGGACTCAGGCGGGCAGGAGTGGATGCCTCGTCTCTGCCTATTAACCTCTCCCTATAAAGTTGGATTTCTTTGGACAAAGAACATCTGATGACAAAGCAGTTCATGCTCGGTGTAGAGAATTTAGAATGAACAGGAAAGTGTCGAGAAAAAGTAAAAATCACCTAGATGATGGAATGTGTCATTAGCAAACATATATTTTTTCTTCTCTTCTACCTCTTCCCCGCCCCCTCCCCCCCATTGTATCCACTGCCTTGTACCCTGTAGGTGAATCCTGAGGTCACCTCTGTTTCCTTAGGATAAGTTCCCACATGAGAAGTTGAAGGATCAAAGGATACGCCCAGTTTGGGGCTTTCTGAAGGTAGATGAAAGTTTGCCTTCCAGGCAGATGTTTCCAATCCTCAAACCTACCATGGGGATAACCTTATTTCTTTTTAAAAATCCTGTTTTATTGTCAGAAATGGACATCTTTGATTTGACCCACTAGGAAGGATAGGCATTTTTCCATATTGCTAGTGACCATTAGTACTTATTTTGTGACTTGCCTTTTCTGGCCTTTTGCCCATTTTTTCACTTGGTGTTTGTTCATCTTTATAAAAAACTAGAGGCCTGGTGCACAAAAATTTGTGCACTCGGGGGGGAGGGGGGAGTCCCTCAGCCCGGCCTGTGCCCTCTCGCAGTCTGGGACCCTTCGGGAGATAACGACCTGCTGGCTTAGGCTAACAACCTGCTGGCTTAGGCCTGCTCCCGGGTGGCAGAGGGAAGGCCCAATCCCTAGGTGCAGCCCCTGGTCGGGCTCAGAGCAGGGCGGATTGGGAGGTTGTGATGCCACCCTCAGTCACGCTCAGGGTAGGGCCGATTGGGGGTTGGGGCACCGTCCCCTGTCACACTCAAGGCAGGGTTGATGGGGAGGTTGTGGCGCCACCCCCTGTCACGCACAGAGCAGGGCCAATCAGGGGGTTGGGGCACTGCCCCCTGTCACAGAGCAGGGCCCATCAGGGGGGTTGGGGCTCTGTACCCTGTCACGCACAGAGCAGGGCCAATCGGGATTGGGGCGCTGCCCCCTGTCATGCACAGAGCAGGGCCCATCAGGGGGTTGGGGCGCCGCCCTCTATCACTCACAGAGCAGGGCTGATCAGGGGGTTGGGGCGCCGCCACTCTCACACTCAGGGCAGGGCCGATGGGGAGGTTATGGCTCTACCCCGTCACACACAGAGCAGGGCCGATCAGGGGGTTGGGGTGCCGCACCCTGTCACACACAGAGCCGCAGGGCGATCAGGGGGTTTGGGCGCTGCCCCCTGTCACGCTGATCCCGGTGCTGGGAGGCCTCGCGGCTCCACTGATCCCGGTGCTGGGAGGCATATTACCCTTTTGCTATATAGGGTAGAGGCCTGGTGCACGGGTGGGGGCCGGCTGGTTTGCCCTGAAGGGTGTCCTGGATCAGGGTGGGTGTTCCCACTGGGGTGCCTGGCCAGCCTGGGTGAGGGGATGATGGCTGTTTGCAGCTGGTCACACATCCTTCAGGGTGGGGGTCCCCACTGGGGTGCCTGGCCAGCCTGGGTGAGGGGATGATGGCTGTTTGCAGCTGGTCACACACCCTTCAGGGTGGGGGTCCCCACTGGGGTGCCTGGCCAGTCTGGGTGAGGGGCTGAGGGCTGTTTTCAGGCTGGGGGTGACTGAAGCTCCCAACCGCTCCTTTTTTTCTTTTCTTTTTTTATTCTGGGCCAGCTTTAGCTTTGAGGCTTGGCTCCAGCTCTTAGGCCTCCGCTGCTGAAAGTAGGTTTCTGGCCTTTGCTTACAATGTTGCGATCCTGCTGGCTGAAGCCCGCTGGACTAAAGCAGGTTTCTGGGGTTTTGTTTAGCTTCTATATTTGTTACATAGTTGCTTAGAGTTGCAGCTCAGAGGCCTGCAGTGGCAGGCGGGGAACGTTGGAGTCCTCCGTCACTGAAGCAAGCAAGCCTCATGTTAGTTTCAAGCTGCCTGGCTGCCAGCCGCCATCTTGGCTGGCAGTTAATTTGCATATCGCCCTGATTAGCCAATGGGAAGGGTAGCAGTCGTACACCAATTACCATGTTTCTCTTTTATTAGATAGGATGATTTCTTAAGAATTTCTTAAAAAATATATTGTTGTTTTTTTTCTTTTTTACAGAGAGGAAGGGAAAGGCATAGAGAGTTAGAAACATCGATGAGACAGAAACATCGATCAGTCGCCTCCTGCATACCCCCTATTGGGGATGTGCCCGCAACTAAGGTACATGCCCTTGACCAGAATCGAACCTGGGACCCTTCACTCTGCAGGCCGACGCTCTATCCACTGAGCCAAACCGGTTAGGGCTCTTAAGAATTTTTGATGTTCCATGAAGCTCAGGTCGGTGATATATGCTGCAAATATTTCCTCCAGCCAATTACCTTTTAATTTTGCTGACAGTGTATTTTGATATTTGTGTAGTCACATTTATTGCATTTCCCCCGTATGGTTTGTGCATTGGTTTTCCCGTAATAGGGGCAGTGCCCATTTCCAAGCAGACCGTTTCATTCCAGCGTTGTAGGGGTGGGCACGGCAAGGCTTTCCCTTCACGTCACCACCCCTTCCACCCCTTCCTCCATCTGCTGTTCGATTGCCCAGCCTCAGTTTCGTCGGTCCTGTGTTCCTACAACCTTAGTTGGTGAGCTCTCCTTATCGGATGGCTGGTGGTGTATATTGGTTGTTGGGGAGCATCTCCAGGTAGACATGCATTAGACAGGTGTCACCCTAGCCTTGACATTCATGGAGAGATGGCGAGTTCATGGCTGGTGGTCTGCCCAGGACAGTAACAAAACCAGCAGTTTACTGTGAAGGGACCATCCCAACACTGGCTCTCAGGACTGGAGGAACCTAAAAGATGGTGGTGTCTCAGAGCTCCCTTTCCCGTATGAATGGTCTCTCCCTGTCTTTTTTACTAGCTTTTCCAGCCTTCTCTTCTGCCTTTGAAAGGGGTGCGTCCATCTCAGATGGAAGGAAGAGAGGCCTTGGGGGTACAAAGTTGAAGAACTGCCTTTTAGGTATGGTGGTCACCTCCGTCCTGCTACATACCCAACATGCGTTTCTTTCTCTGTATTAGTTTCCTAAGGTGGCTGTAACAAATTGCCACAGATCTGTGTGGCTTAAAACAACAGAAACGTCTTCTCTCACAGTTCTGGAGGCCAGAGGTCTGAAATCCAGGGCCATGCTCCCTCTGAAGGCTCTTGGAGAGAATCCTTCCTCCCTCTTCCAGCTCCTGTTGGCTCCTGGGGCTCCAGTCGCTGCCTCTGTGTTCACGTGGTGTTTTCCTCTGTCTCTCCATGTGTCTTCTCTTCTTACGACGACACCAGTTCCTGGATTTAGAGTTTACCTGAGATCCAGGATGATTTCACCTCAAGATCCTCAACTCGTTTCATCTGCAAAGACCCTGTTTGCAAGTAAGGTCACTTTTTGAGGTTTTGGGTAAACATGAATTTTTTTTGTGGGGACACTATTAAACTCACTGCAGTTACTGTGTTGGTCACTACTGTTGTTCTACATAATAAAAATATGCCTTTATTTCTGGTTTTATATTACTCATGAAGTTAGGTAAATCAAAACATAGCATCTGGTTTCATTATTCATGAGACCATCTGAGGAGCTCTGTGAAGCTTGGAGCCAGTACCTCATGCTTTAACGTTCAAATGAGGCCAAATCCTCCTTTCATAATGTACACATATATCAGATCTTGCTGATGTACAGTTTAAATATCTTAGAGTTTTGTCAATTATCTATACTAATAAAAGGGCAATATGCTAATTAGACTGGGTGGACCGGACATCTTCTGGTCATCCTTCTGGACAAAGTCACAGTGGCCGGGGCTGAGGCAGAGGCGATTAGGGGCAATCAGGCTGGCAGGGGAGCAGTTAGGGGTGATCAGGCCGGCAGGGGAGAGCAGTTAGGGGCGATCAGGCAGGTGAGCAGTTAGGAGCCAGTGGATCTGGATTGCGAGAGGAATGTCTGACTGCTGGTTCTAAACCGGCAGTTGGACATACCCCGAGGGGTCCCAGATTGGAGAGGGTTCCCCCCCGCCCCCCTCGAGCACAAATTTCATGCACTGGGCCTCTAGTCTATACATATAAAAGCCTAAGTGACCAGTCCACTAGTTGACTGGTCGTTATGATGCGCACTGACCACCAGGGGGCAGACACTCAATGCAGGAGCTATCCCCTGGTGGTCAGTGCGCTCCTACAGCGGGAGTGCTGCTCAGCTGACCAATGGGCGCCAGAGGCCAGGCTCATGGCTGGCGAGTGCAGCTGTGACAGCATCCACAGTGGAGCAGCAGTGAGCCTACTGAGTGGTGGCGGCAGGTGCAGCAGGGCCGGGATGAGCTGGAGTGGTGTGGTACCCACCTGGGCTCAGGCTCCTCCCTGGCTGCCTGCCGCTTCGCGCAGTACTACATCCCTTGGGTGATGTTGGACTGCTGGTTTTGGCCGACCTTGCAGGCCACTCTGAGGGACCCCACCAGTGCACGAATCTGTGCACTGGGCCTCTAATACCTCAATAAGGCTGGAAAAAAGGGAAAATTCTGTTAAAAAATTGGGTCAAGCCAAGACCGGTTTGGCTCAGTGGATAGAGCGTCGGCCTGCGGACTGAAGGGTCCCAGGTTCGATTCCGGTCAGGGGCATGTACCTGGGTTGCGGGCACATCCCCAGTGGGAGATGTGCAGGAGGCAGCTGATCGATGTTTCTCTCTCATCGATGTTTCTAACTCTCTATCTCTCTCTCTTCCTCTCTGTAAAAAATCAATAAAATATATATATTAAAAAAAACACGTATTAAATAAAAATATTTAAAAAAGAAAAAAAAAAGAAAATAAATCTCAAAAAAAAAAAAGAAAAAAAAAATTGGGTCAAACCTGAAAGTATTGTTCTCTGACTTGAACATAAGGACTAGGGATGTGAAAGGGTTAGCCTCCTGCGTCCCCAGTGGATCAGGCAGCTTATTTCTGAAGTGCATCTGCTGCCTGAGAGGCATTGAGCTTTATTTTAGGACTCCTTTGGAATGTTTGGTATTCCTGTTAGTTATCTTGAAGCTCATTGGTGCCCCTGTAATAAATTAAAAGACCTTTCAGCTAGTTTTTTCAAATTTCTAATTTGTACATTTTCATGGCATTATTAAAAGGATAAACTTCTAAAAGTAATTCATAGTGAAAAAAGGGAGCTCTGGGAATTTGAGGGTAGCTTGTCAGGAATTTTTCTGGTGTGGTGTGGAGATGAATGTGTTTAGTTCAAGTATTGGATCCACCATTCACTGTGCCCAGCAGCTCCAGTTCTGAGTCCTCATCCGGAGGAGAGACAATCATAGAGGCCAGTTTTAGGGTGTTTGTGCGGATGAAGGGAGTGGTTTATGCAAAGCACTTAGAGCAGGTCTGGCACGGGCACACACCTACACATTGTTAGCTATCATTTCAAATAAGAAATTAATTTCTGAGATCATGCAGATGTGGGGGGTGTTACTACTGAAGGCAGTTTTGCCTTATGTGATCAGGGGATGTGTATTCTCTAGGGCACATGAAGATCCAGCTATAGTTCATGTTACTAACTTACAAAGTTAAGAAGTATGCATTGCTTATTGCTTTCTTAAATAATGTCTGGAGAAAAAGAACATGCTTAAGTGACAAATGTTAAGACCAAGGTGTTAAAATACATTTTTTTTATGTTCTTAATGATTTTAGAGAGAGAGAGAAAGGGATTCTAGATTTTAGAATAGAGATAGAAACATCATCAATTGGCTGCCTCCTGCATGATAACCTCCTCTGAGAATTGAGCCCACAACCCGGGCATGTGTCCTGACCCCAACCACCATCTCTTGATTCCTGGGTTGATACTCTACCACTGAGCCACACCGGCTGGGCAAAAAAAAAGTATTTCATATGACAAAAATCTTACATACTCATTGTAGAAATTTTGAAAATAAAAGAAAAGCAACAATGACCTATGATCTATGATAGACTTTAAAGTAAAATTTACACAGCTAATGTCTTAAACTTGGGGCACCACTAATTATCTTCACCCGGGCCTGCTTTGGGGAGTAGTTAACCTGGCATGTCGAGTCTCTGGTTACATTGCGGTGGAGTCGTCTCACGCATGCGTCCTGATGTAAATGACTCTGAGCTATATGCCAGGGACAGGGAATCCTTTCACATCCAAGGCGCCCGCCTGGGCGGGAGGAGAGCAGGCCCCCAGGCCTCCGGGGCTTTGGTGAAGGGGCCTGGCTGAGGGTGCGTAAGCCTGACATCCCTCCCTGTCCTAGAAGCCAGTGCCCCCTCCTCCAGGAGGAGCAGGGGACTTCAAAAATAAGAGACTGGGTTATCCAAGAGGAATGGATATCCCCCAGGGGGCCTTTGCCTCCAATGCCCCTGATCTGGCTGTTGAAACCCATCAGAAGAGTTGGCGCCTAGCATCTGGGCTTTGCTGGAGTTTAAATTCCTCCCACTTTGAACATAAGTAAGTGATCTATCTACATAAGATGGATAGGGCCTGTTACAAACAGATCATTTACACACCCACCTTCTCCCCCCCTCCTGCCCCTGCAGGGTGAGGACAATTTGTTTGCTTGTTGAAGTGCTTGTACCGACCGGCCAGCCGCCTCTCCCGGCCTTGTCTGGGATGTCAGTGAAACCTTACCCGTCCACGACCTGTCAGTTTCTGTTCTTTAAGAGAAACAGGTGGTAAAGGGACAAAGTGGAAAGGGGCCACTCAGGAAGAAATCTATTGTATGACAGCTCACCGGCTTGCTTTCTCATCTGCCAGACCCCTAAGGGAAGGAAGCTGTGCTTGCTTTGTTTGAAGGCCTCTGTGGCTATTCTGACCTCCCCGTGTGCTTGCCAGCAGCTCTGTACACAAAACCCTTTCCGAACCCGGAGCCGCTGTGTTCTGGGCCTTTCCAGCCCCCACCAGCGCCTCCCCTCTCCCTGCCGCCTCCGCCCCGCGCCCCACCCCCCTCCATCCCGAGGCATCTGTGCCCAGGGCTCTGATTGGTGCGCAGTGCAGCCTCGCCTTTTAGGGACTGTCGTCGGGCGTTTACAGTGATAAGGGAAAGGGTCCAGGGACTGCTTTTATCAACCAATCAAATATTTTCCTGACTGGTCCCCAAATATTCCCGGGCCAATGGCAGGGACAGGCCGGGATGCCTGGGCCGCTCGGGGAGAGGCCGAGCTTCAGCTGCGGCAGGCGGGGCAGGGGCGCAGAGGAGCGCGGAGGAGCGCAGGGCCGGCCAGCCCCGCCCGGCGCGCGCTCAGGATTTGTCTAGCGCCCCGCTCCGTCACGGGGGTGTGTTGGGGGGAGTCCTCTTTCCGGCTGTCGAAATGGTTATCAAAGTGTTTGTTGCCACATCTTCTGGGTCCATAGCGGTAGGTGTCGGATGGGATGTGTGGGCGTGTTTCCTAACCCGTTTTCCCGGGAAAGGCGCGGGGCGCCCCGCGCGGGCTCTAAGTTTCTGGGTGAGGGGGGAGCCAGCCCGGCTCCGGGGAGCCGGGGAGCCTGCGCCCCTGCGTCCTGCTCTTGTGTTGAAGTGTGTGAAGTGTGTAAGCTGGTTCGAGAAGAGGCACGCGGGAGGGGGCGTGCTTGATTCTAGGATGTTTATCAAGTGTGCGTGTCCTGTTGTGTCGCATATATTCTAGAATCAAAGATTTTTTTGTTTTGGTGTGGAGTGTTTTTGCCATTCATCCCGCAGGATCGATAAAAGTTGCAAAAAAATATGACACATTGTGTAACATATTTGGAGCTAGGAGAGCCAGATTCCTAAAATGACTCCTGGGTGAAATTACTTGTGTGAGCAGGAACCATACCGAAAGTGTACCATTAGCGTGTGTAATGCTATTATTTGAGGAAGATGATGTCACAGCGGCAGGAGCAAACATCGCTCAGGCCCCAGTTTTAAACGCTCTGGGCATCCGAGCAGACCCAACATGAGCCCTCAAAGCCGACTCCTTGCATTGCTTTTTCCTCGGACCGGCTGGGAATCGCCCCTCCGCCTGTCCAATCCCAGCCTTCATTCTGGGCGAGAGAGACAGACCTGCCTTCAGACACAGGGCAGCGGACGGTGATTCAGGCTTTGGTACCGACATTTCCGCCAGCATTTTAGCAGAAGTTTGGGAGGCTGTGGAGAGAAAAGGGTTTGATTAATCCTGAGAGTTGGAGACCAGTGAGGGGGTGTTTCCTTTTATATCCAGGTCGCTGACATCTCGGGGCAGCTAGGGTTTCAGGCTCACGCAGCGGGGACCATACCCCAGGTGAGCCGCTGGCGGGAACAGTTCCACGGGCAGCTGGCGAATGCCACCACTCCGAGGTCACTGTTTCCAGAGAGGGCGAGCCGAAAACCAGAGAAAGGAGCCGGGTATCTGACTGGTCAGCAAGTGTCTAGTGATTTCTAGAACATCTTTTAACAGAAAAAACGAGGAG